TGTTGCATGGTTACTACACCTGGTTTCCTGTCTCTGGTTGTTGATTTTTGAAACCGTGGTCCTTCGTTTACTGTCAGTTTATCTCAGCCGAATCTGTAGCCAGTAAGATGCTTGTCCCCTGGTGGTGCTTTCACAGAGGTAATCAAGGGTGATTCTGTCTTTATTCCCACCACCGCACATGAAAGTAGGCCAGATAGTGGGTAATAAAAGCTGTTATATATATATATATATATATATATATATGTGTGTGTGTGTGTGTGTGTGTTTGTGTGTCTGTAAGTAACATGGCACTGGGTTCTCTTGGCCTCAGATGGCAAGGAAACAGGCTTTTCATGCCCTGCAGTCACAACAAATTAGCAATTTAATAAGACATTTGGTGTTGCCTGGCCTTCCTCTTGACTGCCTGCTCTGCATGAAGGGAGCTGGCCTTGGCCCTCCACACTGCTGCACAGTAAGTGAACATGGAGGCATGACTCCCACTGGCCATGCGATTTGACGGTCTCTCAGCCCAACTTTGAACCAGATTAGGAAAGCTATGAAAAAGCCTTTTTATGGAGATTATTCTTTTACAGGCTCATCTTTTTGGCTTATTAATATAAGCAAAGTGGTTGTGAGGTTAAATGTCACTGTGAACTGGTAAATTCTTAAATTGAGAGTAGCCTAAATATTAGTGTGAAACAAACTTGAAATGAAAATGTTTGGTTTATGGCATTGTTTCATGAGCTTGAATTTTCTTACATGAGGTCTGGTGTTAGCCTTTCAGTTAAGTACTGTTCTCTGTAAAAGTAAACCAATCCCATTTTTCTTTGTGTATCTCTTGTGTGAAAAAGAGCAGGCAGTTCAGGAGGTGTTGGTGTACATGCGTGCATGTGGAAGATCCTGAGCACTGTGATGCTTTCCTCTACCCTGGGGAAAGGCTCCACAGTGTCACTGCTGCCCATACTCGGTGGCTGAGCAAGGAGGGCCAGGTGGTGGTGCCGAGTGCAGCACAGTCAAGCGTGGACGCAGCGCATGCTGACATTTGCCTTCGCTGACTGCTGCAGGGAGAGGAAAAATCTGCTTTTCCATATGCTTGTGCTCGTTGCAACCCTTCCCTCCACCCACTGCCCCCACCCCATCCCCTTCCGCCCCCCCACCCCCAGTCTCAACCAGATGGCTCCCTGAACATTGTTTACCTTGGGTGACAGTCCCAGATGCAGAGTGTGTCCATCAGCATCCCCATTCCGCCCAGTTAGTTTCCTCATTCCTCTGCTCCCTCTTAGCTGAAGTGCCAGTCGTAGTTCTTATACTCAAGTTGCATTAAGTCTGTTGATTTTGTGTCTCCGCTCACAAACACCACAATAAGTAGACACACTCGTTCTGTCTCTCAATTACTTTCTCTCTTGTTCGGTTGTTCACACTTGCATAAACACATCTCTTCACACCTTCTCAGTCTCACACCAAATCCCAAAATACACACTTTGTTTTCCTGATCGGGGCAGCAGCCTTTCCCCCTCTCCACTTGTTTTCCATGCATTGTGTGTGTTGACATATGGGAGCTCCCTTATGGCTGCATATTGAAGATGGAAATAGGTCTCCAGATGTTGCCAGCACAGTGGGCCAGATGCATTTAGCACCACTGTGTGGAGAGCCACAAATGCATGTTGTCCCGACAAGCTGAACCTCGCCCCTTCTTAGTCCCAAAACTAAAAGACAAGCCTGCGCTCTTCATTTCTAATCTCATTTTGAGCAGAATTCAGTTAAAGCAATGTAAATTTAAAGCAATATTGTTGGTGATGCCAAGAAAAATATAATAATGCATCCAACCTGGATGCGAGTATAAGCTGTTTGTGTTAGAGTAACTAGTTTTTTCTTCTCAAAACTATTACAGTTTTTCACTGTAACAGAAAAGATGGCCTTTTAACCCCATTACTTTGAGTGAAATTTGAGTATAAAATGCAAATTTCCAGTCCACGAGTAAAAACCCATGGTTCACATTCCATCGACTGTGACCGGGGCACTTCATGTTAACGTCCTTGGCCTTGAAGAGGAAAAGCTTGCTGTGTAGCGGCCAGCAGTGGGCTTAGCACCACTGTAGGTTGAATAGCTTTTTCAGCAAATGTGTTGTGAAGAAGGAGTGGTTCTATGAATTGAATATGTGCAAAGGCAAGACTGTTGGTGTGTTGAGAACAACGGTGAGAGTAAAGGTGTCAGTTGTTATAATGAATATGATGGTTTACGGTTCAATTGAATTTCCTTTGTTTTGGATGTAAGCGGGTTCAGGTGAGTGACCTTGCTCTCAGCCAGCTCTCTTGACTGGCTTAATGGGGGAAGTGCTTGTGGACCAAACTCTTTTTGTGTTTACCAGCATTTAGTTGATTTCTCTACAGCCTGTAGGCCTTAAGGTACTGCCATCGGTCCCTGTTAAGGATTGCTGTTTACTTATATGTCATGTTATCGGCTTACAACAAAGATACTTGTAGTTTCATTGACTATACAGTAGGAATCACATTGTTTAAGAAAACTATTGCACTTTAATCAATCACTCTAATTGTACAACCACACTATTCTAATTAACATGAAAACAGGCTTTCTCGTTTGACTTGTAATTTTCTGCAGTATTTTAAAGGACCACTTGAATTTTGGTTTTCATTGTGTCATGTGGCTATCCAGTTGCGAAGAAGTAGCTACTGTTGTGTAATTCACTGTTGATGTATTGATGGATGCTGAACATCTGAGATTTTGGAGACTACTCTGGGAAAAATATTTTCAATGTAAACATGGATTTTATCCAAAGTATGATGTGAATGTTGTCATGTCTTGCATTAAAAAAATGCCAAATCTGAAATATCAATGCAACCTTGATCAGACCAACCTGACAAAAATGTCTCTGAACAACCCCTGTCAAACTCAAGGAACTTTAATCTCTCTGTTTTGTTTAGTTTATTTCTTGTTTAAGTCTTGTGTGCATACCTATTTTCCCATAAATGCTAGACACCATCCTGTACTTTGGTTTGCTAGTTTACACATCGTGATAAGTTATATCACATATATTTGATCACTTGACTTCAAAATAAAAATAAGCAAGTGAAATTTTCATTGATATCAAACCAAGCAGACCAGTGACAAATGAGCAAAGACACCACTATTTTTACTGAAACTGCTGCCATCCTGTGGTCCTTTTGTTTGTGTTTTTTCTTGTTCAATGACTTCTCTACCAGTACGTTACTGGTAGTGTCATAGAGCTCAGGGGGACCATGAATTACTATACTGAGCTTGTCATTCATCGTGGACCCTGTGATATCCTCCATGAAGCTAAATGCCTATAATTTTCTGAGTCTGTCAGACCTCTCCTGTATCACATTGATGTACACCTCTCTGCCTCAATTTGCACCTTCTATTTTCCATTCACTGATCTCCCTCTCATCATCTTTAAATCCATTAGCAACACCTCCATTCTTGCATATTCACTTATAGTGTGTTCACATATAGACATTTCCCCCCCAACTTTAACTACTACTATTTTACATAGGAAGCGGTAAATGATGATAGTTAGAATAGTACAATAGTAAGTTTTGTTAACAAATAAGTTAATGTTACCTATGTGAAACCTTTAAATGATCCATAATTTGTGGTAGTGCTTTAGCAGATTCACTCACCCTGAAATAGCATGTTTTGTTTGACATTGTATATAAGTATTTATTTTTTTTAACTCAACTGTACTTCAAGTGTGCTCTGTGAATTTATAGGTGGTTGTGGTATGGAAGACAATAGGTAATCTTAGAACCGGAGTATTTATCATCAGATGTATTAAATCACTCTACTTGTTTGCTCCGTGGCAAAGAACGTAATGATGACATCCATATCTTGTCGCACATAATCTACTGTTAAAGACATTTCATAGTTTTCAGTTTAAGACAATTCATATTCATAAAGTTGTTTGTAATTGAAATTGAATGTTATTTTGTGTCTCGTAATTAAGTATCAAATTAGAAATGCTTGCAAGTAGTTAAGATTTATTTAAAGATTTTTTACAGATGTTTGTCTGAAGAAGTCACCCAAAATCAATCTTCATTTCATTTTTTTGTGTGTATGTTGTGTCACTTTCTGATTTAGCTTTTTGTTAACTGAACTGATATAACTGATTGTTTGTACATTCTTATAAAAAAAACAGCAAAATTACTTTCTGAAGGGCAGTCAGTGATTGTGGCCAAATACACATCCGTTATTATAAGTCAACAAATTGTGTGCATGAGGGCTTGATCCTCTGCTATTCTAATCTCCATTTTCTGGATTCCTTACCAGTTAGCCACTCAGTAGCTTCTAACACGTGTCAGTAACATGTTAATGTTGAGTCATCATAAGCCATACGCTCACACAGCTACATTACCTACTCTAGTCTGTCCCGAGCAGACTATCTGTATGGGTCTGTTAGATTCTGACCATCTGTGTCTGAGTTTCTGTTTAAGGTTAGTTTTCATTGGTGATCAGGAGTAACAGCTGCCTCCAGAGAGCCATCTCTCCAACCCCAGCCCTCACCCCTCCCTCACTAACCAGCGGAAACGTCTACAGCTGTCATCTGCTATCCCAAATGACCCAGCTTTCCTTCCAGCTGCCATCCCAGCACCCTGCTCCCAGCCCCAGTCTTGCTTCAAGGCTAAGCCCATTTTTTTCTATGTCCTGCCACAATCCCAGTTTAAGGGAGGACAGAATTTTCCAGCTGCAAGGTCAGCTTCCACCCTCAGACTCCACCAAGTTGCCAACCCAGCCACCATTTCAGCTGTATCTTCAAGATTGGCTGCCAAGTCTTGCTACCAAACTAAAATAACCCAAAAGTAAAAGGGTTTAGAAATGTAATGTTTTGTCAATTCCAAAGTATGTCCACACGCAGTATGCTCATAATGCATCTGTTATTTCCAGGCATGTACTGTATCTCTTGAATGTTGTTTTTACTGATATACATTGTTTTTGAGTTTGTAATACTGTGTGTCACTGACCTGTTTGGTTTTTCTGTGTTTCAGGGGCATCACCCAAGATCATCAAGCTGCAAGAGGAACCATCAGATTATACTGACCCGCTCAAAGGCAAGAGTCCAGCTATCAACAGCACTTTGGTCCCTGTCAAAGGCATAAATAACCTTGGTAACACCTGCTTCTTCAATGCTGTTATGCAGGTTGGTATAACTATGAGTTGGTTCAAATGTAAATATTGTCTGTGTGTGTGTCTCTATACTGTTAGGGCAAACCAAGCGTTTAGAAAAAATGACTAATTTATTATCTTGATCATGCATTGTGATAAATCGTGCAGCAATATATTATTACAGTACAGTATTTAGTTATAATAAATATTGTAGGAAATAATAGACGCATGTGTTATTAAAGATATCTGTCATATTAAATCTGAAGCACAATCCAGTTATATCTCAAGAGACATGTGACAGCCACATGACTCAGAAAGATTTCCTTTCTAAAATGACAGTATGAATATATGTATGCCTTTACAATGTGTAAACTCTCCTAAAGTGCTGCTCCTTAGGAGTCTGGCCTATAGTAAACCAACATGTGGTCTTACAATGACTGAGTATAAACAGGCTAGACCTTGAGGTCATTATGAAGTATTTTGAATGCAGCAGTAAATGCAATGCCGGCTTCGACACGTTCACCTGCCCATGCATGAGTGGCACTCAGTTGATGCAGAGCGTGTTCGCCATACAACAGCTATAGAGCCCAACCAGCCTTTCTCTGGTCGTGTCATGGTGACTGCAAACTGACATGCCTATTCAACAATGAAGCAGTTTTTTTCCGCCATTTTGTTAATCACCCTCAGGGCCTTCCTCATTGATTGAAATGTGAGTGAGCACGCTTTACATGCTTTCCCCTCCCTATCCCTGTCTGTTTGTATTGTCTCCTTGAAAATTGCAATCTTTCTAGTGAAAACACATAATTGTCAGAGGATGAGCTGTGTCTGTGTTCACAATGCCAGCTCCATTGTGTGTTTTCCATAGCAACTGTCTTCATTGCCAGGATGTGACAAAACAAACATCTCTTGAAAGGGAAAGGAACGATGTTTCTCTAACATGAAGGGACAATGACTGCTTCAGGCTATCTCCTCAGCAAGGATCTTCTCCACATTTCAAATAATAATGGACTCACCACACGTTTGCTAAATCCTACTAAATGGAGATAACATTTTACAAGAGTATTTTAATCGACCACATTGAAATGCTACAATGTAAGTGTGGATACACTTTCATATCTTTGTAGGATTATAACTTTGTTGTTGTTGATTCTTGTCCATAAAATTGTTGTTGGGACTTCAGAATCAGGGAATCATTAAACTGGTCATGTGCCCTGATTTTGAAGTCCCAATAACAATTTTGTGGACAAGAATCAACAACAACAAAGTTAGTAGAATTCAGCTGCTTAACATTTGTTGATCTTATGTCATACCTGAACAATAACTGTACCCAATGCCATTCAGTGCATGAATGGGTTAAAATGGTTAACAAAATCAATTGTCCTGGAGACAATTTGTAATTTCAGTAATTCCTAAACCAGTTAGACAGGACAGAATGTAGTACTTATAGACCAATATCTGTTTTAAACATAGATTATAGATTATACTCATCAATATTGGCAAAGCGATCCCAGTTTAGAGTTTATCCAAAACAGTGTTTCTTGAACGGGAATGCCGACAGGGATGCCCCCTTAGCCCCACACTTTTCACTCTCATTATTGAGCCATTAGCGCAGGCAATTAGAGAAGATCAGGATATAACTGCTGTAATAATTGGTGATACAGAACACAACCTCTGTCTGTATGCAGATGACACTCTTGTGACTCTCACAAACCTTAATGTGAATTTTCCTAAAATGTTGTTATCTTTGCTTAAAGTTTTTGGCTCATACATACATTTTCGCAGAAAGTCTCAATTTAAATGGAAAGGCTTGATTTTAATTTTAGTGTTTTGTATTTAGAAATGTGCCAGGTAGGCTGAAAAAGCAGAACAGTTACTTACTGCAAATACTGTTAGCAGGTAGAAAAGAAAATGACTGCATAACGAGCCCCCAAACATTCCTTGAATGGATAGAAATAATCCAGGAAATGTACTTTATGGAAAAATTACTTTGTTCTACTACTTTTTTGCTAGGACCGATAGACTCGACTCTTAAAGGAGTAGAGGACGTTGCCCCCTTGGAGGTGCTTTGGCTGAACTAAAGCCACAGATTATAAAGAACATATGACCCTGAGGGACAATCATGGACACAGGAGACCCACAGACCCTTATACTTTAATGTATCTCAGTCTTGCCTTCCCTCTTTATTATTTTCTTTCTTGTGTACTGTCAGGTGTTTCGTCTTAGCTGTGATGGCCCTGTCTGTTGTTTGTTTTTGTGAAAATAACAAAAATGCAATAAAAAAAAAAAAAGGTTAATACAAATAATTATATTGTCCCCACAGAACCTGTCTCAGACACACATGCTCATCGACCTCATCCAGGAGGTGAAGGAGAAAGGGTACAAACTGAGGATTTGTCCCCCTGTTGAGACCAATTTGGTATAGTTTGCTGTCCATCTCTTCTACTTCTCTAAAGCCTTAGTCTTCTTCAAACTAAATAAATACTTTGAAATGTTCATCCTTAGACCAGTGACAGGTGACTCAGAAAATAAGATGAAAGTATTTTTTAATTAACTGAAATTTATATTAATATTAAAATTAATATGGTTCTTTGGGATTTTTGGCAACTTGTCAACATGTTTTAGGAGTTAAATTTGAAACTTCTTCATGAAAATTTGGGAAATATTAGATTACAGTTTTTATCTCATTGTAATTCTGACTTCATTTAGAACATAGCATACTCATTTCTATAAGTAAATTAACACACTTACATTTTGTTATATTCTCTTGATATTTCAGAGTCCATTGACCGTAACGCTGCCCAGTCCAGAGCCCCTGACTGCAGCCATGTTTCTCTTCCTTCAGAGCATGAAAGAACCAGGGAAAGGCCCTCTCAATCCCAAGATGCTCTTCAACCAGCTCTGCCAGAAGTGAGGCGCTATTCTTCATATCAGTTGCCAAAAAATCACTGTGACCATGATGATACAGTTGCTTCAGACTCTGTATGCGAATATTTTATCTCTGGATTTAGTGAAGTCATCAAACTGTGCCATAATTGTTAGCATTGCAGTTCTCCATCATCACAACAGCAGTTATAGTACCTGCTTTCATCCCCTCACTGCAGTGGTGTCCACTTTAACCAGCCAGATCCAGGTAGCACCTGGTCCCAGCTCAAATGCCTTTCATGCACTCTAAGCTGAACATACACAGAATACACCTTATTAAATGTGTAGCAGCAGCTTGCTATTTGTAGCTCTTTCCACTGCTTGCCACACTGCTGTGCCACCTGTGTCATATTTGATCCAGAGCAAGGTCTAACAGGCTGTGTGACAGGCAGAAACAGCCGTACATTTGTGAAGTGAACTGTTGTTTTGTTCTCTTTTATGAACAGTGTGAATGTTTGGTTGGCTGGATTCTTGTTTGAGCGTGGTACACTGCTGGTTGGCTGTACCCTGTGCGTGTGAGTGGGGGGGGTCTTGCACTGTTTAGTAGTGCAGGTGGGTGACCAGGGTATTTGACGTCGGATGACTGGGTACATCTCTGGTGCAGCTTTGACAGTTATTATGGTACCTAGCTTTCATCAGAAAGGTGTGTGTGTGTGTGTGTGTGTGGTTGCCACCTCACCTGGTACCACCTCAGCCTGCAACGCACATGCAGGCAATTGTGCATTCAGACAACAAGCATTGCACACACCTTTATACATTCATACGTGCCTAATTTCAAGTAAGGCTAATCTATTCCACTGGCATGCCTTTGAATATGGCTTTAAGCCTCAACACCAATTACCCATATGGTATACTGGTAAACGTTTATTGGGCCAGTTTTTTTTTTGTTTTCTTCTATATAGTAGATGCAAAAATGGAGCCCTAATATCCACTTTGTTTTCAATTTGGGGAAACAACAAAAAATGCTGTGAAGTTGGAGATTTCAAAGCAAAAACAATATTACGTCCCATTTTTTCCAGCATTTTTTTCATAATAAAACATAGTTGCATACATACAGGGCTGAATTGTTCAGTTGTGTGACACCAAAAAAATCAGTCAGCTACATTTTTGATAAGAAAAATAAGAACTAAGAAATCCCACACAATGTTAATTATCTAAACATATTTTATTTAATTTTATCTTAACTTTTTCACAGGAGCTGCAAGCTTCCAGGTGTATATGGGATGATCAAAATCTAAAGTGGTGGCTTTGTTCTGTGTGATCTGATTCTGAAGTAGTGGTACTGAGTGACCTCTGAGTGCCAAGAACAAAAAGATTCACAAAAAGGTTTGACTGAAAGTTCCAAGAAGGCAAGATTGACAATGTAGGATTTTGTGGTTCTCTAACAGAGTTGCTGGTTTTGCAAGAACTTTTTTGAATTTGCTATATGCAAAACTACCACTAATGTCTGGTCACAGCTTCTCAAATTTGAGGACTTTCTACTTTTCCCTGTTTTTATATAATTGTAAATTAAATATCTTTGGACATTTTGTCTGTCAATACAAGTAATAAAGTAATCCTGAATACATCATCCTGGAAACAGCTCTGAGTCCTGTGCACAGCTACTCACCTTCATTCATTCAGGTCTAAAGCTTTGAGCTGAAAGGACAGGGTCAAGAACTGCACCTGTTTACTGGGAGATTTTTCTCCATTTATGATGGCTACACTCTGCGAATATAGTCTTTCACCTTCACCCGTCACTGTAAGCTCTTGTCACTCCCAAGAGGGTTGGTTCTGCCCTTGGCCCCTGTGGGGAGTAACAGCCCTTTTCCTTTTCTTTTTTGCTGTCTTTCCTACTATGTTTGTGATGGTAGGCAGGTTAAGATGGCTTTTGGGCTCATATCGAGGCCAGTTTGAGTTCTGTGTGAGTGTATGTGTGTATTTGCGTGTGTGGGCATGCATTTGACCTAAACCAGCTGAGTACCCCACAGCCTGCCTCTTACTGCTCCTCCTGACAGCAGAAGGGGTCTGGTCTGGGCTCGGACCAGCGCCAAGCTATTTGGGTTAGATGGTCAGCACCACACTCTCTATCTGGTGCCAGACAGGCAATAACCCAGCTTGTACCCAAACCTTGTTTTAGTACAAAGTTGGTCAGTGGTGGCAAGACAGGGAAAAATAACATTTAATAAAAATTAAAAATATTTATCTACTTCCACCTGGCACCTTGACTCTGAGGTTGCTCAGCCACTGGTTTTCATACAGCCTGTCTACTGCTTTGTCATCCTAAAGCATAAAAGTACTATTTATGTACAATGTTACTAGTTATTATTAATATTAGGATACACTTTCTATGCATGTCTAATCCATAAGGCCACATAGAGGCATTCGTCTGCACCTGCTTCTTTCAAGGACTGATTTAATTTTCAGGACGGCCGCTGGACACTCTTGTATTGCCAAAAATGAAAAGAATGCTGTCTCTCTTTTCCATCCATGTGCTGTGTGTAAATGTCTACATACCCACATCTTTCAAATATTGTTCATAAGCCTTTATGAGAAGCCTTACATCCCTGATAGAAATAGCAGAGGACAACAATAGATTTCATTTGGTGCTCTGGCATCCAGGACACACATCAACACTGACACACATGCAGTACACACACAAGTCAGGGCTGGCATACCCAACTGCTCAGGAGGAAGACCTCTTTCAGGTTTAAGAAAAGAAGCTGATATTCATATTCGGTTCAAAAAATAATACAAATATTGGCAAGTGCACATACGCTCAGCTAAGATCCACAGTCCGGGGATTCTAGCTTTGCAATCTGCAACAAAATACAGCCACAGTGAATATGCCAGCAGAACCAAAAGAGTAAGACAATCAATTATTTTGCACAGTATGGCTAAATATCGGTGATCTACAGTATGATGGGGGATATTGGATTGTCCACATACTATACCATATCATTGAGCTTCACTTGGGTTTTTAGTGAGGCAAGAAGCAACAAACCAGACATCAGTAGCAGCACTCTTGCAAGGTACGCTTGTGAATTAATTAAAAGAAAGGAAACCTCTGGTCCTGTTTAAAGACCATTCTAATGGATCCAGAGGTCAATACAGTATAGCATGTTTTAATGTAAAACTGTTCATTTGAGTGTATTTAAGTGGGCTTTGACCTCACATTGTTGGCTTAAAGGAATTCAAATATACCAATATCTCACGATAAAGCATCCATAAGTATTTAAAACGGAGCATGTTTTAATGTTTTATATCTGTAACCTAGAAAACATATTAACAGTCACCAGCTCAGGGGTGAAAATCAAGTATAAGCATGGCGCCGGCGCAATAGATAAGAAATGTGCTTTTGATGTGGGAGATCTGGGTTTGATTCCCACTGATATCCACCAATGTCCTGACAAAACACTTAACCCCTAGTTGGTCCAGAGTTGTGCGACCTCTGACATGTATAGCAATTGTAAGTCGCTTTGGATAAAAGCATCAGCGAAATTACTTATTATTATTATTATTATTATTATATACTGTCTTTGAATTCCTGCATGAGTCACCAGTATAATGCAGTCTTTATTCTCACTCTTTAAAATCGTATTCCAAAAAAGCGTGGTAGCCTAGGTGAGAGCTAGGCATTTTAAATCGTTGGTAAAGATAAATAAAAATAAAATATAATAAAAATTTTTTTAATGAACATTGAGTTATATTTCTGATTTCTATGCCTATGTGTGAGTAAATGCTGGATGGATTTTATATGTGAACTGAGTGCGGGTGCATTGTGTTGCTCATATGTGTGTGTGTTGTTGGGGGGAGCTTGTGTGGCCTTGTGTCTGGTACTAACTCATCCGGCTATTAATTGTGTTAGCACCGCAGCTGTTTGCATTGGCCAGATTTAGAGCAGCGCTACAGGGCCCTTCTGCTTCTCTCCACTGGGATGAGCTTCCAGACCTCCTCATTCCCACTGATCCCAACCATGCTTTTCATTTTTTTCTCTACACTACTCTGCGTCTGTCCCTCACTCTTTTTCTGTCTCACTCATGTCCTGTTTTGCTTTATATTTCTCTCTCTGTGTGTGTGTCTCTCTTGGGAGATTGACAAACTAGTTAGCGGAACAAGAGGGAGACATTCCTTCACATGCTGTTCATTTGTAGGACTGGCAAATAAATGACATGTGCTCTCTACCATCCTCACCCCTCCACCCACCCTTTCCATGTGTCTGCATGAAAAGGGCATAAGGGACAGAGACTACGTCTGTATATAAGGGCCGGGTGGGGTGGGGGGTGACTACTTTAGGCTCCTCCAGACCTCCTGGTTATGACCTGTGTTGAGGGCAGGTGGTTGGCCATCTCTCCCCCAACCACGGACATCCATTCTTGGGCCACATGTCAGCGTGTCTCACAGGATGATTCATTTGATGTGAATTCTTCCAATGAGTATGATTTACTGCAAAACACTGTGGCCAGATTCTGCATCCATTAGGATAATAAAAAACACATAGCGGTGAATATTAATGCTGTGTATAAGTATTAATAATGCATTATCAAATTGGTACCAGCTATCTGCTTTGTTAAATAATTGGTGGCTGTAAACCCTTTTATAAACACCTTGTCAAACAAAGGAGGATAGATTGTTTGCCTCTTTAAAGTGACTGGAAATCTGTTAATACTAGACCATAAGGACGTGAAGACAACTTAAACCATGAAGTACCAGTAAAGGACATTCACAGTACTATTCAAGGAAATAACCCACCCACCACCCCTAGCCCCCGCCCTCCAAACATCCTCAATATTTGACTGATGGCTTTTCAAACCAGTGATATGGCCTTGGTGTGTGTTGTGCCTGTCGGACCAACCTGTCCTGTGGTTATGTGGCTGGCTCGGCCCAACAGGTTGCAGTGGCTCTAGCCCTGGCTGCCCATCTGCCCTGGCATCTGTCCTCACATCTGCTTCACTGTTGACGGCCAGGGGACGGACCCAAGGAGAGTCTCCCCTCTAAACGCTCTGGCATTAATGTCCAGGATGGCTATCTGCCAACAAAACGCTCAGCAAAAATATCAAGTCTATGGATTGACTGCCAGCGTAGCAGAGCTGTGTTTGACTATCAATTATAATTATCTTTGTTCGGTTCAGACCAGTGTTCGGTTCAGGCTTTTGTAATGGACCTCTGTTTTCTCCAGGGACATTCCAGTGGATCAGAGATTGTGTAAATTATTCATTTTATTGGATTGTTTCTCTCGAGTTGACGTCATGAAATATGTTATGAAAATCTGTGGAATCATACCTGTACAAGTAGAGATTTTGATGTGCCTGATGTCACATTTAGATGTGCCTCATTTATCCACTGGTGCAGGATTCATGGTCACTTTGAGGAAATTTAAGCAAGCTTGATCTTCACAACTGTTACCAGGCTTTTTAACTTTTATTGTGTTACCATAATGTTGTTGATCTATTATCACATACACTCACCTAAAGGATTATTAGGAACACCTGTTCAATTTCTCATTAATGCAATTATCTAATCAACCAATCACATGGCAGTTGCTTCAATGCATTTAGGGGTGTGGTCCTGGTCAAGACAATCTCCTGAACTCCAAACTGAATGTCAGAATGGGAAAGAAAGGTGATTTAAGCAATTTTGAGCGTGTCATGGTTGTTGGTGCCAGACGGGCCGGTCTGAGTATTTCACAATCTGCTCAGTTACTGGGATTTTCACGCACAACCATTTCTAGGGTTTACAAAGAATGGTGTGAAAAGGGAAAAACATCCAGTATGCGGCAGTCCTGTGGGTGAAAATGCCTTGTTGATGCTAGAGGTCAGAGGAGAATGGGCCGACTGATTCAAGCTGATAGAACCTCGTTACAACAACCGAGGTATGCAGCAAAGCATTTGTGAAGCCACAACACGCACAACCTTGAGGCGGATGGGCTACAACAGCAGAAGACCCCACCGGGTACCACTCATCTCCACTACAAATAGGAAAAAGAGGCTACAATTAGCAAGAGTTCACCAAAATTGGACAGTTGAAGACTGGAAAAATGTTGCCTGGTCTGATGAGTCTCGATTTCTGTTGAGACATTCAGATGGTAGAGTCAGAATTTGGCAAACAGAATGAGAACATGGATCCATCATGCCTTGTTACCACTGTGCAGGCTGGTGGTGGTGGTGTAATGGTGTGGGAGATGTTTTCTTGGCACACTTTAGGCCCCTTAGTGCCAATTGGGCATCGTTTAAATGCCACGGCCTACCTGAGCATTGTTTCTGACCATGTCCATCCCTTTATGGCCACCATGTACCCATCTCTGATGGCTACTTCCTGCAGGATAATGCACCATGTCACAAAGCTCGAATCATTTCAAATTGGTTTCTTGAACATGACAATGAGTTCACTGTACTAAAATGGCCCCCACAGTCACCAGATCTCAACCCAATAGAGCATCTTTGGATGTGGTGGAACGGGAGCTTCGTGCCCTGGATGTGCATCCCACAAATCTCCATCAACTGCAAGATGCTATCCTATAAATATGGGCCAACATTTCTAAAGAATGCTTTCAGCACCTTGTTGAATCAATGCCACGTAGAATTAAGGCAGTTCTGAAGGCGAAAGGGGTTCAAACACAGTATTAGTATGGTGTTCCTAATAATCCTTTAGGTGAGTGTATACTACAAGTGTAAAACTTTGTTAAATGATTAGATTTCTAGGTGTTCTTGTCAAATCATATTCCTTTCACAACCATAATTCTCTTCCATTTATTTTCTTTTCATCACATTGTGTCTCTCTCTTGTTCTTGACTTGCATCTGTATTTTTCTTTTCTTTTTTTCTAGGGCTCCGCGCTTCAAGGGCTACCAACAACAAGACAGCCAGGAGCTTCTGCACTACCTAATGGACTCCATACGAGTAGAGGAAACTAAAGTGAGCTTATACACTTACACCTGTTATTGACTACCCGTTATCGCTTAAACTGTTTATGTTGCAGAAAGGTCCTTCAGATCTGAACATTGTACTTATGGTATTTGTGGTTTCCTTACAAATGCATTTTGAACATTTGTTGAGAGAAAATGTGCAAAAAAAATATGTATGTCTTTAGTCAGGTTATAAAAAAACTTTTTACCTGGCTTTCATTTTTTAACCACACTAATGCTTACAAACTCGTCGTCACCCTCTACTTTGCATTTTGTGCGATTTAGCTAATTTTAGCATGCTAACACACTGCACTAAGAGGGTAAAAATCATTTAGCATGCTGACATTAGCACTTAACTAAAAGCACTGCAAAGTATAACCTCACAGAGCCACATTAATAAAAATAATTTCCCCTCAGGGATTAATAAAGTTTTTCTGATTTATAGACTACAGTGAACAATTGATGAATGAAATATGAATCAAGCAGTAATGATGGGCATTCACTATAGAATTAATGGTTATATCTGAAACGAATCAGTAACAGAAGTATCAAACACATGTCTTGAATTCTGCGTTTTGAAAGCCATTACTTGTCATCTGCCTTATCAGCCCTCCACTTGTACAATATATTTTATGCTGTAGATTCAGACTTATTGTCCATTAAAATCCATCCTAGACTAGTGTAATGTCATAATGTAAGACTTTCAGCTCGGTGTTTGTGTGGGGGTGGCTGTGTGCTAACACATAAACCAATATCTTCTTTTTGCTTGGCTAACCAGTTTTTGTGTTTATGGTGCCATGTTTTTGGCAAGTACAGAGAACCACCTCCCCCCCCAACCCTTCGCAAGGCAATTAGGAGACCCCACAGCAGCCCTTTGCTAGGCTGAGCTGCCCCCCGTGGCCCCACCAGTGACTACGTGAACCATGGAGGAGAAGTTAGCGGGTGTGTTTAGTGGTCAGCTCCAGACCCAGGAGGGGCCACTGGCTGGGCTCCTCTGCTCCCATTCAAACTTGTGAACGCTGACAGTTGTGCCACTTAGGGGACTTGCAAGTGGCACGACCGGCATCATTGTGTGATCTTGGAAACCCACAGCTGCTGAATGAGCTCCAGGGCCGCCCCATTGTGCTTGAGGGTCACACACGGCCCCCTCCTACACACACACACACACACACACACACTTACCCATCTCCCAATCCAATCAAGGAGGTAAAGAGGGAGGGGGAATACGGCCTCCTCTATTCATTCACTCAGAAACTCATTTATACAGCCAAGCACATTCAGAGATACAGTGGCATTTTAGCCTACATTATTGAATAATCTTTGAAAAAACATTAATACAGTTACTATATTTTCTAATAAAAATGAAATGTGTCTTAGAAGTTTTAATTATTATAGCTTCTGCAAACACAGGACATACAAGGAAAAAACATTCCTTTCCATTAATCCATACCGAGTGAGCCTGAATAAACCCATTCATTTTGAATAAGCACATCTGAGTAACTCGAATATACCGTATAAATAATACACACACTGTTCTATGAGAGAGTGAATGTGTTTTAGAGAGGGAAACTGGTATTTTTGCAGTGGGTGTCACCAACCTTTTAGAGGTAAGTGTTTGTGTTGATTGGCCATTAGTATCAGAGATCTAAATATGCTAATTTGGCTCCGCTCAATTATCACCAATTAGCTGAGACGGTAGGTATTACTCTCTCAGGGCATGGACTGTCCTTCTTAGCTCTGTCTTCATTTTAGTTTCCACTCATGCACCCTTGTACCAGCAACCCTCGCCGACCCCCCTCACACACACACACACACACATACACACTCCCACAACCCATGCTGTGTGGGACAGTGCACGCATACATTGGAGAGGGAGGATGGGGGTTACTGGTAATTAATTAGTAGGAGAGGCTCAGCCTGGTTTGACTGTGCTGACTGAGTGGGGTGCAGGCTGGGATTATCAGGACTTTTTGACCTAGATAGCCAGTCCAGTGCGTGGGTCCTAGGACAATGGGGCCTGACTGGTCTCTACCCCAGACATGGACCATGGCCAATTATCTATTGATTGGTGCTATACTGTGGCTGTGCCTCTTCACAGCTTTCTCACCAACACACTCACTGACCATGTCACCTTCAATAAGAGGGCCCCCGAGAAGAACTTATACACACACACAAACATGCACAGTTAATTAAGAGATTTACATGTTAACGTTTTTAGACAAGCACAATAATTATTTTACACTAATGATGCTTGTAATGGATATACCTGTCAAACTGAGCTGTGGGCTGGATTTTGATATTTCACTAATGGATGTAATGGAGAGAAAACCCCATTGTGAATTTTGTTTGAGTGGATTGATTTTGCATTTATGAATATCACTTTAAATCTGCATTGCTGTATTATTTTGTTTGTTGTTCGCAGAGGGTGAAAGCGGGAATTCTGAAGGCGTTCAACAATCCCACAGAGAAGACCGCAGATGAGGAGACCAAGCGCCAAGTCAAAGGTTCAAATGCCCGCTGCAGTAGATAGATAGCCAAGATCAATAGTTCCACCTTGTGGCAGTTAATGGAAATACAGCTCATTTACTAATCAGGCAAAGTGTGGTTTGGTGGAAGACAGAGGACTATAGTCTTCATTAGATAAATCTTAAGTGCTTAAGATGAACCTTAATTTATATCCTTATTATCAACATAATGAGTTATATATATGTACAGTAGTGAGAAAGTGTTTTTTTTTTGCATGTTTGTCACACTGAAATGTTTCAGATCATCAAACAAATTAAAATATTACACAAAGATAACACAAAATGCAGTTTTTAAATGAAGGTTTTTATTATTAATGGGGGAGTCCAAACCTACATGGCCGTGTGAAAAAAGTGATTGCTCCCTAAACCTAATAACTGCTTGGGCCACCTTTATTAGCAACAACTGCAATCAAGCGTTTGAGTCTTTTACAGCGCTGTGGAAGAATTTTGGCCCACTCATCTTTGCAGAATTGTTGTAATTCTGCCACATTTGAGGGTTTTCAAGCCTTGATGCCTTCATGCCACAACATCTTGATCAGATTCAGGTCAGGACTTTTGAGGCCACTCCAAAGTCTTCATTTTGTTTTTCTTAAGCCATTGAGAGGTGGACTTGCTGGTGTGTTTTGGATCATTTTCCTGCTGCAGAACCCAAGTGCGCTTCAGCTTGAGGTCACGAACAGATGGCCAGACATTCTCCTTCAGGATTTTTTGGTAGACAGCAGAATTCATGGTTCTATTTACCACAGCAAGTCTTCCTGTTCCTGAAGCAGCAAAACGGCCCCAGACCATCACACTACCACCATATTTTACTTTTGAGGTCCCGTTTCTTAAATGCTGTGTTACTTTTACACCAGATGTAATGGGACACACCTTCCAAAATACGCTTTTCACACAGGGCCATGTAGGTTTAGAATCCCCCCCCCCCCCCTAAAAATAAAAACCTTGATATAAAGACTGCATTTTGTGTTACCTTTGTCTAATATTTCAATTTGTTTGATCTGAAACATTTCAGTGTGATAAACATGCAAAAAAAAAAAAAAAAAATCAGTAAGGGGGCAAACATTTTTTCACACCACTGTATGCGTATGCCTTTAATGTCATCTCAATTTAAAGAAGCAATCCTACATCTGTCCAAGTAGCTTGGTTAATACAATACGTTCTCAGCCTTTATTGGAGATACAGTGGGGAGAACAAGTATTTGATACGCTGCTGATTTTGCAGGTTTTCCTACTTACAAAGCATGTAGAGGTCTGTAATTTATCATAGGTACACCTCAACTATGAGAGACGAAAATCCAGAAAATCAGTGGGATTTTTTAAAAATAAGTAATTTGCATTTTATTGCATGACATAAGTATTTGATACATCAGAAAAGCAGAACTTAATATTTGGTAAAGAAACCTTTGTTTGCAATTATAGAGATCATACATTTCCTGTAGTTCTTGACCAAGTTTGCACACACTGCAGCAGGGATTTTGGCCCACACCTCCATACAGACCTTCTCCAGATCCTTCAGGTTTCGGGGCTGTCGCTGGACAATACGGACTTTCAGCTCACTCCAAAGATTTTCTATTGGGTTCAGGTCTGGAGACGGGCTAGGCCACTCCAGGACCTTGAGAAGCTTCTTGTGGAGCCACTCCTTAGTTGCCCTGGCTGTGTGTTTCGGGTCGTTGTCATGCTGGAAGACCGAGCCACGACCCATCTTCAAGGCTCTTACTGAGGGAAGGAGGTTGTTGGCCAAGATCTCGCGATACATGGCCCCATCCATCCTCCCCTCAATACGGTGCAGTCGTCAAAGAATGATGTTTCCACCTCCATGCTTCACGGTTGGGATGGTGTCTTGGGGTTGTGCTCATCCTTCTTCTTCCTCCAAACACGGCGAGTGGAGTTTAGACCATAAAGCTCTATTTTTGTCTCAGACCACATGACCTTCTCCCATTCCTCCTCTGGATCATCCTGATGGTCATTGGCAAACTTCAGACGGGCCTGGACATGCGCTGGCTTGAGCAGGGGGACCTTGAGTGCGTTGCAGCATTTTAATCCATGACGGCGTAGTGTGTTACTAATGGTTTTCTTTGAGACTGTGGTCCCAGCTCTCTTCAGGTCATTGACCAGGTCCTGCCATGTAGTTCCAGGCTGATCCCTCACCTTCCTCATGATCATTGATGCCCCACAAGGTGAGATCTTGCATGGAGCCCCAGACCGAGGGAGATTGACCGTCATCTTGAACTTCTTCCATTTTCTAATAATTGCGCCAACAGTTGTTGCCTTCTCACCAAGCTTGCCTATTGTCCTGTAGCCCATCCCAGCCATGTGCAGGTCTACAGTTTTATCCCTGATGTCCTTACACAGCTGGTCTTGGCCATTGTGGAGAGGTTGGAGTCTGTTTGATTGAGTGTGTGGACAGGTGTCTTTTATACAGGTAACGAGTTCAAACAGGTGCAGTTAATACAGGTAATGAGTGGAGAACAGGAGGGCTTCTTAAAGGAGAACTAACAGGTCTGTGAGAGCCCGAATTCTTACTGGTTGGTAGGTGATCAGATACTAACGTCATGCAATAAAATGCAAATTAATTATTTAAAAATCATACAATGTGATTTTCTGGATTTTTGTTTTAGATTCTGTCTCTCACAGTTGAAGTGTACCTATGATAAAAATTAGACCTCTTCCTGCTTTGTAAGTAGGAAAACCTGCAAAATCAGCAGTGTATCAAATACTTGTTCTCCCCACTGTATATAATAGCGACCAGAGTGGTGTAATGGAGTGAATTGACAGATTCATTATATTATTCACCTATGAGTGTAATCAAGTGAAAACTGTCGTTCTTTCCTACCAGCATATGGGAAGGAGGGTGTGAAGATGAACTTCGTCGACCGCATCTTTGTTGGCGAGCTAACCAACACAATTATGTGTGAAGAGTGTGAGCATGTAAGTGTATGTGGATGAACTATAGCAAAGAATTTGAATAGTCAATGTGAACAACTCAGACATAGATCAATGTATTGCCATCACATATGAAGAACAATAGGGTCAACAAGTTCACACTTTCTTCAGTCAACCTTTATATTTAGACAATAGTTGCATCTGAATAAATCTGTCACTCATAAATTAGCAGATATTTGCCGCTGACCTGAAGTGAAGCTAACCAACATTAAGTTTCCATTTCTCTTCTAGCTGTTACATACAGGGAACATTTTTGACAACCAAAGCATGATGATGTACTAGAAAAGTAAGTCAGAGTAAACCGAATCATTAGGAGAAAAAAACAAAAGCACTTCAAGGACCAGCTCAAACACCAACTGCTTGCAGCAGGCATGTACCATAAAATGTGAAGCTCAGAATTGTTACAAAAGCAACTGCCACCATGAAAACTAAAGAATATCCTTGAAGGTAGAGAGCATCAGGTATGGAGCTGGAGAGGATAAAACAGAGAAACAACCGCTGACCATATCTCCTATCACAAATCTGCAGCAGAAGTTTATTGTTAAAAGCTTTGATTTTGACTATTAAAGAAGGTGCTCAATATATATGCTGGCACTGACTTAACATGTAATCTCTCTTTCAGATTTCCACAGTGAAGGAGGCTTTCATAGACATCTCTTTACCCATCATAGAGGAGAGGGTAAGCTGCTACAATTGTTCATAAGACAACCAGTGCAGATAACATTAAAGGATGATGAGTATCACTCTCATACAGGGCATGTATCTAATGAGTAAGCAAAATAAAGTGCCACAGTTACTTGAGAGACGGCAAGATCGGTTTTGCATTTGTGCATGTTTAATTGTTTTCAGCCTTATTGTTTATTGTTCCACTTAGAGCTTATGATGTTTTATTTGTCGTACTTAGATATCAAAACCATCCAACCCTGGTAGACTGGGGAAGGGCAGCCGGGAGCAGGACACCCATGTGACTCACAGTGACCAGGTTCTTTCTGCGGCGCACTCTGTCAACAGAAACACCAGGAAGCTGAGCGGACAGGTAGGGCTGCGTTCGTGCTTCTCATTAAGTAATTATCATTTGTTTGTTTTATTCTCAGTTTTTCTGCATCGTCTGCAACCTGATTCACATATACATAAGTTTGCAATGTGCAAAGCCTGGAACAAACGTAGACATTTCATTCATTTCATAGGAGCTTCTATTGTCTCTCCTCTTTTGTGATTTTGAAAGCATGATTGACAAAGCATGGCCCTTTAGATTCTACAAAGGGAAAATATCTTTGTAACTCTACAACCAGTAGAAATACAAAGCAGTTATAGGGTGTCAAAACATAGTGTATTCGTGGGTAAACTCAAAGCTGGATCTTTTTGAGATGTGTAAATTTTAATAGACATTTATCAGATTTGAGGCTTACCATATTTCTTTATCTATGTTCAAGAAAGACTGTGTCCTTACAGATAGCGCCTTAAAGCTTACACGATATTTGACATCTGGCAGACTAGACTAAGACTAAGCCAGTCAGTCAGACCAGACTAAGCAACACAGGATGGAATATTGTTGACTGCAGTCTAGTGTTACTAAGCTGTTTTGCTTTATATTTGTGTTATATTTGGTCCAGAAATAGAAGTTTTCTCATTTCCGTGTCAGTTTCCAGTCACCCTTACAAAAGTAGTACAGCTCCTGTAGCTTACAAATGTCTCTCCACGCAGTCAGATATGCTGCTTCACAATGATCTATACTATGTAATCAAGACACAGCATTTACAGCATCCCTTCCTCTTCTCATGAAAATATCGTACGTAAGAATGATGAAATCTTTTGCATGCCTTTACTGGCAATGTGAATGCTTTTATTTATATTTGAGCTTTGCAAAAAATAGTTACACCAGAAACATCTGGCACAGTCTGCATCTCTTAAAGGGGATTTATCTGTTCTTCTTTTCCTCAGAAGCAGCAGAGCAGGAGGTCTTCAAGCTCTGTGGAGGAGAAGGGAGCAGGCTGCAGTGCGGAGCGTCCAGAGGAGGAGGGGGTAGCTGGTGGATCGGCCGTGGTATCTCAGTTTGCAAGATGGCTGCTGCCGGCAGCCTATCAGATGGCAGTGAAAGAGACTCAGGTCCTCAGGACAGCAGTAATGACGCTGACAGTGAAGCATCGGAGAGCGAGTGGGCTCCACGCACCTCTTCCTCCAGTCACGGGCACATGTCCACCCCATCGTCCATTTCCACCCTCACTCCATCTCCTACGCCCGTCTCTGCCTCCTCCCCCTCACCGTCATCCTCCACGAGGCCAGGTGGCGCTGTAGAGCAGCTAGTTACTGCAGTGTCTAAAGTAAACCTTGGGTTTACTTCTGGGGACTGCTCTCCCTCTACACAATGTTCTCCAGAGGAGCAGGGAGAAACGCAATCACGGGATAACCTCCACCATCAACACCACCAGGGGGCCTTCCAGGTGCTGTCCCACAGTTACACACCCAGCTCCAAGGAGTGCTCCATCCAGTCCTGCCTCCACCAGTTCACCTCTGTGGAACTGCTGATGGGCAACAACAAGCTGCTGTGTGAGAGCTGCACTGAACGCAGACAGAAACAGCTGCGCAAGAGCAGCTCAGCCGGTAAGACATAACATCTGGAATGACAAAGAGTTTTGATGATGCCTAATTGACACGGTGCAGTTTCATTTCAGAGTTATTTTCCAAATTATTACCAGATTATTGTACATCTGATCATTATGTCACAGGTTGTCTATAGGAAACCTACTTATACTTATCTCATCCCCAGGCTTGATTGTTGGCTGTAAAAGGTTTTATAGTTTTGCCCTTCATAGAGCATGGCAGACGTGGGCAGCTTGAATTTATTCTTGTTACTATAGATTCCAACATTTACCAGCTTTTACTCTGGGGAGAAAAAAAAGTTACATCCATAGAAACGTCTTAATCCACCCCTGCAGTGTAATTCACTTCTTTGCTCTGACTGTGTTCTCACAGTGTTCCAAACAATCATATTTGTGCCATTATATGGTTAAATACACAACTACCATCGACAGTGACACCTGACCCACTTGAGTACATTATTAGCAGTTTGTGTTCACATCAGAAGAAGTACAAATTCTTACCAGTGTCAAATTGAAGAGCTACAATCTCCGTTTATTTTTCCCCAGCTAAGTAGTAAATGGACTGTACGCCTTTCTAGTCTTCTGGCCTCTCAAAGCATGTTACAATACATATTCACCCCATTCACACACATCCATACACTGATAGCAGAGGCTACCATGTAAAATGCCAGTTGCTCATTGATGGTGGAGGCTCATCAAAAAGAAACTAATCATACACCCACTCACACACCCGATAGCACAGCCAGCAGGAGCGATTTGGTGTCCGCTGTCAGTTTCTCCGTGGCTCCAGATGTTCCTTTGATCCCGCAATAAACTTTTGCAATTGACTTTGTTAGTTTGAATAAACCAAAAGTAATATTTTAACCGTTAAATCTAAGATTTCTGTGTGTTTTTTGTTTTCGACATAGATAAGAAGGTGGAGAAGATTTACACCAGCGCTAGGAAGCAAATGCTGATATCCTCGCTGCCTCCTGTCATCACATTGCATCTTAAACGCTTCCATCAGGTGAGCAGCCATATTCTGCCTTTTCTTACCCGCCATTTTATCATGCAGTTAGTCAAATGTTTTATTTGATGTGTGTGTGTGTGTGTGTGTGTGTGTGTGTGTGTGTGTGTGTGTGTGTGTGTGTGTGTGTGTGTGTGTGTGTGTGTGTGTGTGTGTGTGTGTGTGTGTGTGTGTGTGTGTGTGTGTGTGTGTGTGTGTGTGTTTCTGAACACATCCTTAATGTTGACGTTGTGGGGCTTGTGTTGTGGTCTACTGGCCTAAATGTTAATGTACAGTGGTTTTTGTATTTTAAGGCAGGGATGAACTTACGAAAAGTGAACCGCCATGTTGACTTTCCCCTGGTCTTGGATCTGGCACCTTTCTGTTCGGCAACCTGCAAGGTATTAAGCTTCTAAACCAAAATCGAAAAATCTTTTGTGTACTTGAAATTGAATTAATCTCTCCTATGTCAAACTTAGAAAGGTTTTTTTAAACTCTCTTATTATTTACTGCTACTTTACTATAACTGTACTAAAGGTTTCTGTTTTTTTTTTTTTGCTTCAGTAGTTCAGTTTGAAATGATTGTCCTTGGTGCTGCTATTTCTGCATCTTTCATTTTTTAGCTCTGTTTTCCTTTTTGCTAATTTCATTCGTTTTTGCTAGAACCTGGCAGCTGGTGAGCGCGTCATCTACAGTCTTTATGGGATTGTTGAACACAGTGGCTCAATGCGGGGGGGCCACTACACCGCATATGTAAAAGTGCGTTCTCCCCAGAGGAAAACAGAACAGCACCACAGGAACTTGTCAGGTTAGGGTTTAAGATATTTTATCTGTTTTCTGTGTCATGTGTGTTTGTGTGCTGTTTATGAGAGCGGTCAGTGGCAGAAAAGGCCTCACTACATGTAGCCTTGAAGATGTCTTTTACAAAGAGCAGGATGAGTAGAGGCCTTTGTTTTCTATAGATTCATGTTATTTTATCTTTCCCATTTTCTCTGCTTGTGTCCAGATTTACAGAATAGTGCTGATAGATAGCTGAATAACCCAAGGAAGCAGTTAGCCTTGCTTATAACAAGCTAATGCAAGACATGTCATTTTGTAATTGGAGCAAAGGTTCAGACATGTCGTAATGACTGCTGACAGACTGGTTCAATCATGTGGTTCACAGTCTCTACCTGTTGTACATGGTCACCGGTCTGTTTATCATCATTTTTTGGCATATTGTTTAAAAATACTTTAGCTCAGCATAGCCTTTTTAGATGATTAAATTGAAAATATCAAGTTAACTAAATGCAGTGTTCTCAGTTTTATGAACTTTCCAGATGCCAGGATGGCCAATTTTTATCCACTGCAGTTTCTTAAGAAAAGTACTCACTGTGTATTTACCTAATTTAGTAATGAAGTGGTTAATATAGTAATGAAAGGATCTATGACTTTGTCTTGTTTTTGTTTTTTAAAAGGCATCCCCTCCACGAGACAAATTCAACACCAGATTACACCACTTATCTCTCAAAAGTGTGCCCATAATATTAACACACTGTGTGTGTGTGTGTGTGTGTGTGTGTGGTATCTTTCAGGTGCGAGGGATGCCAGCAGCAGCTCCCAGGGCCAGTGGGTGTACATCAGTGACACCACGGTTCAGACGGTACCAGAGTCAAGAGTACTCAACTCTCAGGCATACCTGCTCTTCTACGAGGAAATGTTGTAATGTGACTACTAAACATTTTCCCCCTACACCTCTGTTTTCCTTAGTTTTGCTTTTGGTACATGTCTGCACCACTCCTCTTACTGTATGAGTAGGTGGAGGGAAGATAAGGGAAAGACTTCACTGTACACACTCACTCATCTTACATGAGAGAAATACAACCGTGTCAGTTGCGTACAAATTCTCAGTTAGAATTGGCACTTTTGAATATCTTAGATATATAAAAAGATAAACATCAGATGTTAAAGTTATTATCTGCTTTGATAAAGTCCATTATTCATTCATGTTTCCTGTTTTAAAAATCCTACCCTTTAAAAAGAGGTCTACAGTGTGTTCCTGAACCTGAGTTGTTCTAAGTTTATCATCTATCTCCATCACGAGCCTGAGGTGTTACTGCATGAGGAAGTTTGCTATAGAAGCAGGAAATACTACAAAATTATCGCATGCTAAACTGCGCTTAGCACTGACTAGTTGATGTCAATTGTGCGGCGTGTGTGTGTGTGTGTGTGCACACATACACACATGTATGAATGAATGAGTGAGTGAGAGACAGGAGAATGTAGATTTAAGGTGCTATGTGTATCATTGATGCATCAGCAAACCATTGCCACATTAAATTTGAGTTAGCATCATACTGTCTGTGTAATTAACATAAACACTCACGACCATTATGAAGAAGACTGGCTTTGCTGTCTGCATTCTCCACAAAGGGGTTCCCATTGTGTGGCACTGGCTCAGATTTGTGTGTTTGATTGTTTCTGGTAGTGGCAGATGATAGATGGTAAGAAATGCCAAGAGAAAAAATGAATTTTTTTAGTGAAGAGAATGATGCATAAGGACAAGTAGCAGTATAATTTGTGATTTGACTGAGATTGTGGGAAATATGGTTGTACATTTGAGAAACTCAAGCACAAACAATACAGCACCAATGGAGTTAAAAATGACTCGTAATTGTCATATTTATTTATAATAATAATAACAACAAATCTATCACATCGTATAGTGGTTTACATAGACATGCTGGTTTAAATATCTACACATAGCATCCTTAAGGAGTAGCACAAACATTATATTACATCCTGCTTTGAATGGATTGTTCTTTTTTTTATTTTTACATCAGAATGTATAAATGTAAGATCAGTAAATTACATTTGCCAAAGACGGGTTTTGCAACTGCATGTCAGAGCAGAAAATACAGAACCAAACATACAAGAATACTTCATACAGAGTTTCTTTAACATTTGTTCTCTCAAGGTCCTCAGTATGGTTCTCGAGTTTTGTTGCACAAACATGTTGTTTATCTGACCAACAAAGCACCTTGTCTGCCTTCATTGTATTTCAGCTCTACTGTAACTGTGTTGGCGCACACAAAAACCCATTAATGCACTCAGCAAAGAGTCATTGCTGTGACAAACTGACTTTTAATTCACTAATAACTATCATTAAGGTTGAGCAAAAAAAGATAAAATAAAAAAACTCAAAGGCTTTAAGCCTGATTAGAAAAACATATTTGCTGTATTGTGCATGGGTTAATGTTCTAATGAATGTTTTGCCTATTCTTGAAATGTTGTCAAATGAGCTGTTCATCTTTTTCTATGAAAATATTTTAGATGAAAAAAAAAATGATTGCTTGTTGGACATTTGCCAAAACAGTAGAAGGGAAAGGGTTGAAAACGTGTCAGAATCTAGAGGTTTATTATTTTCTTTTGAACAAGGACAAATTCAGTGCCTATGCTTCAGGTTTAGGAAACCTGTGCATGGTGAGAAGAAAAATATATCCTTAGTCAAACGCAAAGAGGAATATGTGTGGCATATTTATGTACAGTATAACTTACTGTAAGCAAAAATAATGAGTATATGTTGTACATACTAGAATCAATCCAAAACCATGGTGCTTCAGGCGTGCAGGGTTTTTCCTCAAGACACAATTGTTTCCAGAAAATCATTTGATTTCAGTTATTAAATGATAAACATTTGGAATGAGTATAACTACATACTGTAAAAAAAATAAATCTAATTTATGAACTGAATATTCTAAAAGACTCATCTTTCTGTTTGCGTGTCAGCCTCTCTTGTGCAATAACAGAGAGACCACAAGGGAGAAGGTTTTGTTCTTTCTGCTTTGGACTTGATGTCATCCTGTTTTTACTCTTAAGCGAGATGTTGTCCACCGTCGCTCTCGGCTGTCACTGTGGATCCCATGGTGCCATATTCAACCCATCTTCGCCAGTGATCAGCCTGACGGGTGCAAAGCAGCACTGCTTCAGAACATGTCGCGAGCTGGTGAAGAGGAGGTGGGTGTGGAAGCAGGAAAAGGGCAACGTCCAAAAACATCGCCTTACACGTCCTCTCGTTCCCGCACGCTGTGACATCCGAATCATGCTGCTGGAACATTAAAACAGGTTGTCAAGCCGCCACCAACAAAAAGAGCAAATCTTCTCTGAAATGTATTTGTCTATTTTTAAAGCGGGGGGAGATGTGTGGCTTTTGGCTCGGGGACATGCTGCTGAAGCATTAGATGTGATTTAATCTCACTTAATGAAAGGCACCCCTCCCCCTGCTTGAGACAGTTGTAACAATCTAATGCTGGAATGCTCATTACTGTGTACCTATCTACCAGCAGTGGAGGTTAAATTTTTCCTGCTCTCACCAGCGTCATTGTCACTGTCAGTCTCACCTAGCTTGACACCACACCACACATACCCTGCATTGATACACAGCACAGTCAACACGTTTCCTCGTGCAAACATTCACACACTTGGACTGCACATGCCTTTGGCTTTGCTCCTCACACTGTATATACATCACCACTACTTATTAACACCAACATAGCACGTGAACGACACCTGCACATAACCTTTCCTAAACAGGGTATGTGATAAATGTATTTCAGACATCTTTTAAAAATTAAAGAGTTACAGAGCATGTGGACATGAGGCACGACTGTAGGTACAGGTACAGTGCTTTTGATGAAATCCCACTCATCACTCTGGACTATCACTGTGTTTATATTTCATTTTTGGCTTTTAAACATTTTGCTGTGTCAAACATTGCCACTGAGATGTATCGAGGAAAGACGCCCACAGAAGCTTAGAGTATGCTGCCCTCTACCGATATAGACAGATTTCTGCTTTTACAAATACCAGCACATAATAGGTGAAGTGGCGGGTCCACCATCTGGGCAAAGTGATTAGCTGTGTCTGAGTCTGTTTCTAGGCCAGCATTCGTGGTCAGGTCATCTTGCACTGCAGTGATGACAGGAGGTTCATCACAGAAAAGGCAGAGATGACTGGGGTTTGAACCCACGACCTTCTTGCTGTGAGGCCACAGTGCACTGGACCACCATGCTGCCCATCACACCCACCACAGCAGAGTCTGGCTACGTGCCTGGTGCTGGCTGTTCCTGTGTTTCTGTCAGGCTGAGGTTCAAGCCACTCTGGACAGTAAAGTTGCCAAGCAGTTCAGCAGTGGTGGTCACAGGAGCTGGTGGAGGAGTAATAACATCAGAGTCTGGTTCTCTGATTGGTTCAGTGTCGTGCTTCAGACCAGGCTCCTCATTCACATCTTCAGCAGGGCTGGTTCTGGCCTCTGCACCATCCACCACGGCTGCTGGCTGGATGCAATCCTTCCTAGTGTTCATCTTTACAGACACTTTTGGGTGTCTGTCCTAGATGGATCAGAAATAATCTAGATTAAGTACACTTTTGTGCGATAAAACACATTGAGTATAAATCCATGGAGAATTTATAGCTCAGTAATCTACAGCAAAATGATGACATATTATTATCGAGGACTACACAAAATATTTATAACAACCATTGTTCTACTCAAAGCAACACTTTAGACCAAGAATCCTGTAATAAATACATTTTGAATTCAGTACTAATTTAATTTCATTCAAGAACATAATCTCTTTTCATCATGTTGTAGGCAAGATGGGATTAAAATACACACATAGAGTCAAAATCATGTTCCAGCTGAGTGGGTGAATGGCACCACACCCTACTGCAAAGTAATGTTACAAGTGACCAACACTAAAATAATGAATGCTATATGTCAGCAATCAGATGGCGAACATATCTGTGAACCTGGTGCCAATTTTTGCTTCCTCTGCAACCTGCAGAATGTTGACAAAGGTGCGCTCTCAGTAGTTGTACACGCAGCTGCAGTGTTTCATATAATACATCTGATATATCATGGTGTGATGATCCTTGATCTGAAAATCAGGAGTTGTGTAAGCCAGTGAAGTTTGTATTTATTTAGATTAGTGGTTGACCGATACGGGTTTTTCATTGCCCATGCCCGCCAATATAATGCTGATATCAAAAGAAAGAAAAGTCATGTATAAATCCATTATTCCATGCAGGGTACAATCTAATATAGGCCTACATGATCATAATCATCATAATCATAGAAACATGTAGTTTTAGATGTATTTTTTTTTATTAATTACACACATATTAAATACATGAGGCATAAACAAAGATAAGAACAGCTGTATATACATCCTCTTTTGTTTGTCTAAAAGTACTCCAAAAGGTTGAAATGGCAGCCTCAACAATCTATTGTTCTGAGCAGCAGCTCAAGCTCTGTGCAAATTTAGGGCATTAACTGCTATGGTTGCAAAGGAAAATTTGTATCTGTTAGTTTTATTTTGGGTAATCTGTATCTTCGCAGCACCATCTCCTCGAAGAACAAATTCCTCCAAGAGACGGTGGTCAAAGCTGGCTGTGATAGTCTGAGCCTTAACTTGTCTTTTATAGATGTCTGCCAAGGAAAGTTGTTTAGTTACAATTACTTTGCTGGCTACCTTAACAATGTTAGACAGTTTATCTTTGCTTTGCACCGTAAATTCCCATACCAAGCTATGCAACAAAAAGTTAAAATTGATTCAATAAAGATTTATAAAATAGAGTCATCAAAGTTTTGTCCACATTAAAAGTATTCAGTCTGCGCAGAAAATGAAGCCTCTGAAGACCCTTCTTGTAGACAGCAGAAGTGTTAAGGTCAAAGTTCAAGTTTTTGTCAGTAACTGTTCCTAGGTACTTGTAACACTCCACTGTCTCAATAGGTGAGCCCTTGATTATGGGACACAACCCTGGGGTGAGCCTGTGGATGACAATCACTTCTGAGATAGAACGCCATTAACGATAAGATGGATGAAAAAAGTAAGCAATGACTCAGTCATGTAGTCTGTATAGTAATTTACTAATGTGTTGACACATTAACATTAAAAGATTAATTTGCTGTTTGTTACCCAACATGGTCCCAGGATTCCCACTTGATCCAGACAAAGAGTCTGCAGGTTATGAGTTTGTAACAGCCTTTACAATATCTACCGTTTTTACTGTGTTGGTCACTTAAAAAGCATTATTTTTATCATTACTATTAGCTCTAGTAAAAATAGTTTAATAGGATAGGAAAGTCAGCGAAGTGCTCATTCATATGCATCTGTATAAGTGTGTGTTAAAGTCCCAAATCTGCAACAGTAGCAATAGTTTAGTTTTCAATGATTTTCTTCCTCTCCCTCTGTGTGCAACCTCATCCATTATTGCATGTTACTAACACAACTTCTCCCCTTTCCTGTAGTCTTGTGCTTTCTCGTCCCTCTCCTCTCTCCTCCTATCACTTCCTACAGGTGTTTCTGGCTCTGGAGCTGTGGAGTCTGGATCTGTGGCTGCGGTGTCACCTGCTTAAAAGGAAGTTTTTCCTTGCCTCTGTCGCCTAGTGCTTGCTCTTGGTGGGAATTGTTGGGCTTCTGTAAATAAAATCATAGAGTATGGTCTAGACCTGCTCTTTTATGAAAAGCACTGTGAGATAACTGTTGTTGTGATTTGGCGCTATATAAATAAAATTGAATTGAATTGAATCAAAAAGGTATAAGAAAACAGCCATGCAACTTTTATTGACCGCATCATTTGAGATTTTAATTACAGCAGTCACCTGAGTGACTTTAATAGACGTTTTAAATTGTTCAGCATCATCAATCTCATTAGCATCTGGGGGTCTCCATGCTGCCTTTAGGTGCTGCTCGTAAGCCCCTTCTTCGGGAATGAAGAAGGCATAGCGAAAAAGTAAAACTCGTTGTTAGTAGAGGAACACGCACAGATGTGTAACTGATGGCTTAACTAAATAATTCAACAAACAATTAACCAAGACGAGCCACAATAATGAGCAAATGCACTCAATCGAATTGTGGGGATTATTTAGGGGGGAATATTATCGTAAATTATTTGATACCTAGACAAGTCACATTAAATTTACTGATTGATAAATGTGCTTAACGTTAGTAGATGTCTAAAAGGATGTCTTGTTTTGAAAGAGGTTTAAATGTGCATTCCGTATTCAGACTGCTTTCTGTGTTAGAGGTGACATTTGTAAGATTATCATATTACAAAATATTTAGAAATTTGAATGGAAAACATAACCAACTTTTAGAAACAGACCAAAATCAATGATCCCAAAAACTGACACCAACACGTCGGTGGTCTAAACGGTCTAAACATATTTTAGAATCAAAGGTAGATGGAGAAACTCTTCGCCTTTTTATTTCATAAACTCGCGCCTACTCATCATGTGTTTAAAAAACGGCAGGGCGCGTCACAGCATTACAACCAAATAAAAGTCTTTGACAGTTCCTGCAGCCTCTGAAGGCAGCAGCAGAACGTCGGTTCACACTTCCTCCAGCGGCTCACTGGAGCAGCCATTTTGATTTGGGACCGCAGCGCTGGAGAGAAACTGTCTGAAAAAGGTGGGGATTATGTTACTCAAAGCACAGCGCTGATATACGTTTTGTGGACACTTCCCACTAGTACGGACCTTTATTTAAATGTAAATGAATACGTGTTCACCCGGTAACCTTCGGAACATAATGCCACTATCTGTTAGCTTTATTTCTTTTAGCTTAGCTAACCTTAGCTCCCGTTAGCTTGTGTGAGCCTCCTCACAAACGCAGAGGCAACTTTAGAGGTTCGGATTTCACCGGACCCGAATGTATTTTAGTAACGCAAGTCAGTAGTGACACAAGCCC